TTAATTTTAAATATTCCTTTATAGCAATCACAAGGATAAATATTTATTCACAAATATGCTAAAGTTTTTTCTCAATTGTTTATTATTTTTTGAACGCGTAATTTTTAAACATTTTTCTTCTTTCGTGAAGGCGTTTAGGAAATAGTATAAAAAAGTAAGGAAAAGCACTATAAGGGATCACGGGCCGTCATTACAAATACCCTAAAGCTATTCATAGAACCACTTTTCAAAATAAGGCGTTGGACAGAAAGTGGTCCGATCCGAAACATGTTTCGTTCTTGGCACAAAACGCGCTAGTGCAATAAATTTTATCAACAGTTTCGCAAAAATTGCGGACTGTAAGTTTGAAAAAAAGACAGGTCGTAAAGACGGACAAACAAGTAAGAAAGTAATTGTGAATTGAACTAAGCTCGGTTGTCCGTCCGCCTGTCTCGTCTTCTTCTCTTCAATCGGCATGATAAAAGGTGAGTCAATCTCAAGTCCTTCTCGATGTTGCATACATCGGCAACAACTTGTGCCACAAATGGTGTATAACAAAAAATTTGCCGTAAGTAACTTCTTACTTTTAAATATCTAATATATTATTGCAAATGTAAGGCGAGCAAAAGCCTGCACACATTGAATTTGCCGATGTAAACACTATTTAAAAGTGGCGTATAAAAGTACATTCAAATAAAGGGCACGAAGAGAAAAATATAAATCTAACTAAAAAAGCACCTGACAAAAATTTAATTTATGGCGATCAGCCAAAAAATTAATAATGATAATTTTTTTAAGTGCTGCTAACGTTGTACATGATACATATATTCAGGCCACACGGAATGTGTTTGCAATGAAATCGAGTACGTAATTGATAAGAGTTTGAATATATTTTGAAATATTTTAATAATAAATATTTTAAAATTTAAAATATATTTGTTTAATATTACAATAAATAAATGTAAAAGCCTATTGACAGAGCACAGAAAGGCCAAGAAGGATATATATATATATATACATATACATTGATTAAAATTAATAACAGAAACTTTTTAAATTCTTCTTTATTAACTGCGTTCAAAAATATCGCGAAAGATCGGGGTATACTCATTTTGTTTTTTTCCGAAAGGCAGCTTCACACACCTTATAAAGTGAAATTCTGAGTTGATTTAATCACGTCTGTCCGGCTGTGGGTCTGGGTGTCTGTACGTCTGTGTGGCGTGTGTTGTTGGCACTCTCCTGCTTGCAAAATCGAAGAGGGTTTATTTGCTTACTTGCCATAAGGCAAATAAGAGAGAATATCTAAAATACTTTGTGTACACTCCTCAAGTAAAGATATATTATCTGCCTAAAAATGGATCAACTTTATAATGAATATGCTCGAAAAAGTGGTTCAAATCTGAACCATTAGAGTTCGCACTTCAAACCCCGTAGGTCGAAGTACGGCAGTGTACCCAATTTCATCAGATTATATATTAAAACTTGCAATCCGCAGTTTGAACACAAATTTATGTGGACAGACATAAGACGGATAGACAAGCTTTGAGTGAATCGCTCGGTATGGGAAAAGGTGGGGGGGATATACGTAAAACGCACAGACTTTATGTACCCTGTACCATAAGAACAAATCTCTTTATTGTTTGAAAGACTGCATATGCTTTGGTTAAGTTCATGTAGAAATTATCAATTTCTTTCAGACATTTCTGTCCCGAACTTCATCTTCGATTCAAGGTATGGAATTTCTGACTATGAGATTAACGAGTCAAACAGCGCTATAATCACATATATTTTCTGAAATGGGTTGATTTTGTGATACCGTGGCTAACTCCAAATTTAAATTTCATATTAAGTGAAACTAGAAAAAACTCTTTAAATATAATACAAACTAATGAAAAAGTTTAAGTTTGAGATTCAAATGACCAGCAAAGGCTCATAGCGTTAGATGTCAGAAAAATGAGGTTTGAAAAGTATCTTGATCGAAAAAGGCGAGCGGTGCAGTTCAAAAGCAAGCTTATAACGTGCGCATACTCGAAATGGATGAGAGTTGTATATTATATGAGATTCTAGAACGTCATATAATTGTTTCCAGCAGCAAACACAAAACTCGCCACAATTGAAAAGATGAAGGAAGGACATGATCCGGAAACTGAAGAAATGCGTGACTATGACTGTCGTCGCTTTCCTCCGAACTGTGTCAACGGCATAAAGCTGACCACAAAAGAGGCCCATAAAACTCATCTAATAGAGCTTTTCACCGAAAACTTATTTTGAATGCAAAAAAATTTAGGAACACAAAAAACTCTGAATACTTTTTCCGCGCCTAATATTTACAAGCGACATATATAGAAGGGCCATGAGCACATAACCTGAAAGAGTCAGTTGACGACAAGTGTCTAATTAGGAAAAATTATCCACTCGTACATGCAGTGTGCATGTGTGCAGGTCCAATGTATTTTTAATGACTTTGTTTACTCTTTCGTATATCATATTAATATGTTAACGAACTTTTCTGAATATTAGTAAATTATTATTAGTTAATTATCCATTTTGTTCTGTATAGTCAGCAGAGAATGCCATCTCCATCATACCTTTAAGAACATAAACGCTTAGATAGGTATCATTAATATAGTTATTAAATATACTAATAATGCATTATTTTTGGTGTATAATCGAAGAAGATGATCCTTTAACATTTTAATATAGCATATAGCCATAGCATATATATATTTATACACGCATATACACACCCACACATGTACACATTTATACATCGTAGTATACACACACATATACCATAATAAATATCCCATAAACATTATTATAAACTATCAACTTGTTGCTTCTCTCATTGTAAACACAGAACACATACAATATGCCCTATGCACACACACACACACACATACACACATGCACACACAATATACATACATACATGCATATATATATATATATATGTATATATATGTATATATATACGTAAACACATTCATCCATCGAGAGCACGAACACAATCGCAAATAAGGAAAGTATAATAAACGTTAGTGTGTAGATGCGTGCAGATGACATACATTGTAAATACGGAAAAAAGCTTCTGAAAGGAAAACATATAATAAAATATAGAATAAATAATAATAAAAAAAAAAAGCAAAAAAAGAAAAGAAAAAAATGGAAGAGGAAAAAAAAAAAAGAAAAGTAGTAAAGGAGGTCATTTGTTATGCAAGGTTAGTTATAAAGAGCAAATTTTGTTTTTTGTTTTTTTTTTTTTTTTTTTTTGCTTATAATTTATTAAGATAATTTCTTTAAGATGTTTATAACGATGATAGGCAAAATATAGAGAAGGAGAGGAAATGAATAATAGGTACAAGTGGGTAAGATACAGTCTTTTTTTTGTTTTTTGTTTTGAGTAAAAATCTTTTAAAATTATTAAAACTATTTATCAAACAAAATTTCGATACACTTTCATATGTATATACCTTTAATTAAAATTGTTGCTTAAAATATGTTTTTCTGTCTTGTTCTTTCTTAATTTTATTTTTAAATAAAAAAGACATTTTTTGATCGAAAGCTTTAGAGAACTGAAAAGCTTTAGTTTCTCAAAAAGGATGAAAAATAAAGGGAAATGTATTATTTTTAAGGAGAAACACCTCTATTGCTCCTCGCAGTTGGCAAGAAGAAGAAGACATCCAAAAAGGCTAAATATTCATTTAAATTCGAGTTACACTTTTTGCAAATATTCAGGCCGGTTAGCAGTTGTGACTACCCCATTAGAAATGGTCTTACTGAACAGGTTAGGAATTTTTTTACATATCTGTTTAAATGCTATGTATTATACTATACAGTCCGTAAGAGTAGAGAAGATAGATAGATAAAGCCCGGGAAAACTCGGGCTCAACTGCTTTGAAACGCTTAGGTGTTAGGTGACAAGGCTTAGTCCAGTAGAAATGCTACTGAGCGGTGATGTCGCTTTACTCACTTGAAAGGACTTACATACAAACGAGGTAATATAATTCAGAATCATACTTTCTTCACCTACTATACACATATATATTTTTATACATTTAGTTTTAAGGACAGATGATCGATACGCGAACGAAAACGACTAAATCAGGCTTTAAAACTGACCTGGACCAATCAAAAAGATTTCGGTAATGATTAGAATAATACAGATCTTTTCACGACCTTACAAAAGAAATTAATTTCGCAGGAGCGTGAAAAAGTCTAAGTGACCGTAATCATAGCCGAAAGAATTTGGAAAGAATTCAGAAAGCGATCTTGAATCGATCGATAGAATAAAAAGTGCATATCACAAGTCTAGGTAGATGTTGTATCCATCCTCACAAACTTTTAGTAAAGTCATTATAAGCGTGGAAGAAAAGCAAGTCCGCTCAGACCAACAGATGTAGCAAAAATCAGTTAAAAGTTATACATCTATCTAAAGTAATACGCATTCAAGATACGCCCCAAGGTGAGTATATAAGTATATTTCTTATTTGTTTTCCTTACGGTTAAATTTAATGAAACTTTTTGACGGAAACCACAATTTACTCTAAGCAACTCGCCCTTCATACTGTAGATGGTCCTTAAAAAAAAGAAAAGAAATCTTTTTTACTCTTACGTTCGTGTTTGCCAAAGAGCGGCAATGAATGAGATGTCGAAAAAGAAAGAGAAAAATTATGGAGAGTTACGAAAGGAAGAAAAAAAAGCTCTCCCTTAATGTATTTTTTAACATTTAGTTCAGGCCATAACTAAATGATGGCGTTTAAAACGAAGTAAATGTTTTTTTGCTAGTTGCTCATTGTAATTCTAATGATACGCACGTCCCTACAGTAAAACCAATTCTCACGTGTATGTGTTTTTCTTCTACAAATTGGTTCTTTATCGGATTTTGATTTTGTGTAACGAAATAAACAGAAAAAAATAAAAAATTTAAAAAAAAAAAACCAAAATAAGGAAAATTTTTTAAAAACATTAAAACAAAAAAAAAATTTTTTAACAAAAAAAAAAAAAATAAAAATTATATTATTTTATGATATACGGTAATTATATATATATATATATATATATATATATATATATGTATATACGAACAAGTTATATGCGTGTTCCTTCTATGCAGTACAATATGTTCACCACACAAGACTTGGAAAATGTGGTTTACCTCTTTAATTAATTTGATATAATGTCTGACATTAATTGTGTAAAACACAGAATGAATTTGTAATACACATACGTGCAAACATATGAGCCAAGTGTTACATGTAATGGACACCTGACAACACAAATGGTTGCCAAACCAAACAATACTATTAATTACAATAAATTCTATAATAAATTCAAAGAACTTTTTGTGGGAAATTATGTGCTATAATATTCTATTATAATTAATAAAATATAATAATGTTACAACCAACAACGTATACAACATAATCGATAAAGAGAAAAAACAAAAACAAACTTTAAATATAATGATAAATTTGCAAAATTGTTATAAAAGAGAAAATCTATTATGTAAATGGAGCTGAAACACAGAAATAAAAAACAAAATGTAAAATATTATAACAAAGGGTGTACCCAGTTGAAATGCAAAGTTTAATTTTTTATAATAAATACTTTTTATTATCCCTTTCTAATCAGTTAGCTGTGCGTGACGCCCACCCGTAATGCGTAATAATCTACACCAGAAGATATTTTTATCATTTTGTCAAGTCCTCTCATTACGATGACGCATATCGCTAAAGAGGGCGGCATAGTTAGCTCGTTAAAAGGAGTAGAGATGTGAACTTACTTTCCTGTGACTCGTAACATCTGGCAAATGAGGAAGACCCGCCGTTTGCCAGCTCTTCAGTTCATATCTATCTTATTTAAGTTGCAACTTAATTGCTGTGAAACGTTAGAAATATTTTAATAAATTTCTATATTTCATTGTACTCAGAACTAAAGTAGGTAAGGATCAGCTTATGTTTAAATAATCAACACAAGAAGAGGAAAACATTTCAAGTGACAGTAATCGAATGTAAAGTTTCTTTACGGCAACTGTGCATCGTTTCATTTCAATCTCTTATCTTCTTCAGCTTTAGAGCCTTGTCAGGACACTATGCTTGATGTATAATGCTAATCTTTATGTGTTTGATCCGTCATTAGATTCTATGCATATTTTAAGGATACGTCGTTAGCATCCTTACTACTCTGTAATATGTTTTGATCCAGTTTGAATTTTTTGTACAATACTGGAATCTGTAGAATTCTTCCATTAGGTTGTCTTTGCTTGGCTTTTGATCTCAAGAGCAATGTATTTATCACTTTGCTCCCCTTTTCCCAATTTGTTGTGTGGTTTAGCTCAGAGTTATTGTTATATCGGCTGAAAATTTGTAATTAAATTAAATAAATAAATAAAATCTTTGAACTCAATTGATGATATTGAACTTGTAAATACATTTTTGAAAAACCACGTAAGCGCGTATCTTAATGCCTCCCCTTCTCCTTACAAGTTTTCTAAATCTATTAAAAAGTTTGAAATTATTCTGTAAAAATCTTAAAAGCTCCATATAGGAACATTCTATTTTATACCTGTCAAGCCCTTTGCAATCCATATAAGTAACGTTAACTTTCCAAAATTCCATAATTAACTATCAGCTAGACAGACTGTTCATATATCAAGTATATAAGTTCTAATTGCACCTATGAAGTTAAAAAACATTTAAAAGCTTCTCTTTGAATATCGGAAACACAAATTGAAAATGAAAATATGATATTTTGATTATTCATTGCTGCGCGCTTTACTTCCAAAGTCCCTCTAATTAAGAAACTATCATCATCGGCCCTCTTGCTCTTTCCTTACCAGAAAAAAATTTGAAAATGAAAATATGATTTTTCGAGTATTCATTCATAGAGTGTGTGTGTATGTGCTGCTTTATTTCCAAAGTCTTCGTATGAATAAATGTTTGCGACGAATATAAGCCTCAAGATGGCCTCTCCATCCATCCTTGTACGATTTCCTTATGGCTTAAAAAAAACGAAAAATTCCGTGTTATGATCAATATATACGTAATGATGGTTCGTCCCTCCATCCTTGTCGGATTCGCTCATCAAATTTTATCATTATGAATGTGTATTTACCACAGTAATGTATTCGAGAATGTGTGTATGTCTTTTTGTCAAATTATTTCAATGCAACCTAATTTCATATTACACACAATCTGTGTGTAACGAGTATACTCGTCATTGCCAAATTTTTGCTTTACATGAAAATTTTCCAAAGAAGTTGAATTTAGAAGAGTCCGCATATTAAGTCCCTACCTCAAAAGTTTAGAGTCTCAAAAATGATGTCGTTTTTTTAATTAAAAAATAAAAAATCTGTTGCAGCATATGCTTAAAGTAAAGGGACTATATTTTCTAATTGCATCCCGTGAAAAGAATAAGTTGCTTTTTTTTTCTTTCTATGAAAAACTTATTAATGGTCCTTAGATATAAACAGTGTCAACTTAATCACATTAAGATCTTAAATCGTATTAGTCATGTGTGTCAGTTCACTTATGCTTTCCGTCAGCGTTGCATGATTGAAAAACAAAAAAAAATAAACTTCAACGCATTCATATTCAACTTAATGTCACTTATCTGCTTTGCAAATACGCAGCTACAAAATCTCTTACAATACATTTTCAAACCAATAGATGCTTTATGTGAAATTGTATACAATTTCATCGCTTGTTAGATTAAAAAAATACGTACAGCCATCCGTAAGGATTTCTTTTTAAAAATACATTTTGCATAAAAATAACTATTGGTCTAATTTTAATATAAGCAAGTATAAGCAAGCGTTCAATTGCATTTTTACATCTGTTGCCGGAGAGAGGATGTACACAATTTTTTTCAACTCTGTTAACACATTCAAAATTCCGGCAAGCCATAAAGCATGCATAAAGTAAGTCGAATCGCAAAAATTTATTTTTGCTGAAGATGTTGAATCGATCTGACTACGTCCGCTTGCGGAAGCCTATAACGCCAAGTGAAAGAGTGTTCGTGGACCATGTCCAAGAAAAGGAAAGAAAAATTAAATATCACCAACAACTGAAAGTCGTACGAGATTGCTTGTAGGGATGGCCCGAAAACTCTTAGTCCACTGAAACTAACAAGAAAACCTCGATCTTGGATGAACAATAGCGAATCATAAAAAAATATTTTCTTTAAAGTACCGTTTGGGGACGGCTGCACATTTTGTTCACCTCTTTCAGGGCATATGAATTCTATGGACAGACAGCAATTATTCTTTCCAGATGATCTAAGTCATAAAAATCGAAAAATTGCTCGGACTAACGATCATTCAACTATTCGAACGATTGCTACTGGATATTGTAACACATACGCTAGCCTTGAGCAAGAAAAGCCATGTAATCTGCAAAGTTTCCGCGGGTTCAAATCTCAATGCGGTGCAGTTTACTTTGGTCGGTAAATGCATAACCCTTTTCAATAGGACTCACATCCACTAGGCTGTGGGCATCACCTTTCTATTTCTTTCTTTCTTCCTTTCTCTTTCCTTACTTCTTTCACACCATCAACGCGTTACGCAACTAAGGGACGTCCTCTAAATGATTGATTAAATTGAAAAAAAGAAAAGAAACTGGAATCCTTCATTATTCAAAGTTTAAAAAAGCTATGTCTTCAGGTATGTACAGTTCAATGAGACCCATTGATTGATACTGATGTGTACAATTTTAAAAAGCCATCACACAAACAGACAGACTATGCAGCCCACAAACGTTGTAACCCCTACTACCTCTCCCTTACTGTGTTAGGAAAATCCTTTGGGATTAACTTATTCGCAAGACATAACCTCCCCATTGTTTGAGATATCTACGACTTGTCTTCAGGTTCATACAATTTTTTCTTAGCTCTTTTTACTCTCTCAGTAAAAATCCAATTCTTTTTCACTTACTTTTTTATGTACAGTCTGCCCGTTTTTAATAATGCATTATAAGGGGATGAAGGGTAAAAGTACGACTTTGGCTAAAGCATATCAAACTCTCATGTCCGTAGTTTAAGAGGCTGTTGAGTAGCATTTAGTAATAGCATGCAGATAGAGGATAAAGGAGATCGAATAGCAGGACTTTAAAATAAAGTCACGCGTGCATTCTAATTGAAATTCTTTGCAGATGCGATTACATTTTCGTTAAAAAAACTTTTTCAATTGTTTATGCGAAACTTCGCGTCATGAGAACTCGCTGACTATGACATTTTTCTATCATTGTGGAATTTTCTCTACGATTCTAAGAAATTTTTATTTTTTTTATTCTCCATGTGTTGATGAAAAAGCGAGAAGCAGAACGACTTTGAAAGGAGTTGAAATGAAAATCATCCCTTTTTAATAAAATTTGACCTTTATCTCACACCCACCTTTAATGGATTTATAGAAAATACAGTCAAACAATCGGTTGCAAAGTGCTATGAATTACAGGAATGTGTAAAGTGCATATTCCGTTCGATTCCGAGCTTGGTGTTTAAATTTCTTATCGATGCAAAAAATCTTTTGTTTTTTTAAAGCTTCACGTTAAAGGTTTTAATCACTTGCTTTGGTCCCTTTGCTTGCGAAGTAATCCTTTCAATCCATTAGGCGATTTTTCGTCCCAATTGACACTCAAATAGATGAACACTGCTTTCCTTTTTAGCCGTTTGAAAACAATGCAAAACTTACGCATTTCGATTCACCTTTGATTCGAATTGAACGAAGGCCGACATCTATCTCGCCTATAGCTTACTCATCCATCATTCGCTGTAGGCATTGCAATCAATTGAGTGCAGTTGGTTAACACAATATGCTTTTACTTGTAGCAATATCCAAAACCATTGTGTTGATGAACAGCTTCTCGCCGTTTTCCAAGAGAAACAATGAACACTGTGTGATGTTAACTAAAACTGTAGCTTTCCCATCGGAAAGTGCGATCTTTAAGCCTTACGCAACAGTGTAAAATACTTCATTACGGTATAGGTAAAAGAGTTTTGTCGGGTTTTGAGTAGATTTAGTTTTGCGCCCAAAAAAAGAAAAAAAAAAACACCACACAAGTCAAGCATTACTTTTCGGAGTTATTTTAAAGTATGATGCCATTGAATCTTGACGTGTGATCGACAATCAATGCCTGTCATGTATTAAAAGACGAATAATCGAACGGCTAGCATTGATAATAAAACCAAAAAGGCGTGATTTGTTTGGGTAGACGAGGCCAGTGGCCAGCTAAGGCTCTTCACAACAAACAGAGCAATCAGCAGGAAAAGCTTGAAGCAACAGCCACGCAAGCAAGCAAAACGAGCGAGAAAATTGTATTCAGTTAAATATTTTATGCCCACCCAAGAAAAAAAAAATAGCTAAACTTCCATGCAATATTGAATGGGCGTGGCTGATTTTTCGCCTTTTTGTAAACTGTAGGTTAGCCAGTTTTGTATTGCATCATAGGCATTGTCTTCTATAGCCGAGCCACTTAAAATACTAAATTTGGATTCGATTTCTAAATTGTTGCTATCACAGATCTTACATACACAGATAAGTGAATAGGCGGACAAATCGATTCAGAGTTTGATGCGGACGGAGGAGTATATAGATGTTTTCGCATCTCTGGCGCTTCCACCTGGCTCTTGCAAAGAAAGAAAGGAATATGCTCCCACTATGGGATATAAAGGGGGCTAGGTTTTTGCTCGCTAAAGCACAACCAATACATTGATAATATGTAATGGAAAAAGTCGAAAACTTTTCGTTGACTAACTAAGCTTTCCCAAATGATAAAGATTGTACAAAGTATCGAAATTTCAGTTTTTGGGCAATTGAGATACAAAAAAAGGAAAGGCGATGACCTTATATAATTTCCTTTTTTTTTTTGTAATTGGTTAATCGCCTTTTGATATATTTCGAAGCACTCTTCATTGCCTGAAATAAATTTTATCTCATTATCTAACTAAGAGGTACACAAAAATAGGTTTTCTGCTCAATTTTTGCTTTTTAACTCATTCCTGAAAGTTTGCAAGAAAAGTTTGTAAAGTTGTAAAGCCAACAGACGCAGAGACAGAGATAGCTAAATTAATTCCCCTATTTGTTCCACATAATAAGAGAATATTTCTTTTACGAGGTGCCAAGTGCATACTTTTATGTGTTACAAATCCTCCAGCAACGTAATGCATTGCATTTAACGGTCATAAACCAGAAAGGAGGTAAACGTTAATATTCCGTAAAAATATTAACAAAATGTTATGAGCGAATAAATGCGATGATATATTTTTATTTACACGTACGCTGTATGTGAGTTAATGCATAACAAGAAATCGAATACATTGGGGTCAGAGTTAGAAATGGATTTCTCTCAATATACCATTGGATAGCAGAATGTTGTACTAACACGTAAGCATCTAAGAAACTGACAGACATTTATAGACGTCAAAGTGTAAGATTTTTTCCTTCATATCAACTGGGCACCAAGTGCAGGGCCAAGGGGTCGAACTCGGGCCTCTTTTTCAGACGTTGACGCCAAGACATAAATTGCAAGCTAAACGTGATAAAGGGATATCAATACAACAACAATATTCACTATTTGTTTAAGACACAGTTCTCCGTAAAAGAAATCTTTAATTTTTTTTCGTTTAATAGCTTTTTGGCTTTCATTTTGAAAATGCGATTCGCAGAAATTTTAAATTTTTAATTTTTAATTTAATATTTATGAATAGCTTTCATAATAAAACGTAGTATGACGCATCGTAAGAGTTGTTGTTGAACAATTATAACGAAACTAATAAATGGAAATCGCTCTTTAAATTTTTGTGTTTTGTATTCGTAAACAATTTCGTTTATATATATATGAAAAAAAAAAAAAAAGTCCTTCCATAGGCTCAACTTTGCCATACATGTAAAAGTTATTTATGTTCCTAACTATGAACACGAAACATTGATGTGAGTGTGTATTTATGTGTGCGTGCGTGGGGTTTCCGCTCATAACGATTAATTGCATAAAACGTTTGACTGACTCGAAAGCTATAAATATTTCAGCTGAAATTTCAGAGATTTGCTAGATATATCGATTTGAATGTGCGAGAATATATATATATATATATATATATATATATATGTGTGTCGCTATCTATGTATGTTATGTTTGTGTGACGCTAATGTGTCATCGCCAATAGCTAATGCTTAATGGTTGTATGAGTGTATGAGCGTATGAATGTTTGTGTAATCAAAACCAAGCATCGCGTACCATACAAATTGTATATCTTTTGTATATATACGTACGTAGACATAGTGTTTGCATTTTATGTGAGTGTTATTTAACCGCTCTACATCACTATACAAAAAGGCAGAGAATAGGAGGAGAATTGGAAGAAATGCAGTTATAAACTAATGACAGTCGGCTGGCATATCGAATAACGGCAATAATTACGCGTGTGCTAACTATTCCGCAGTATTTCAATGATGAATTGCTTACACACATTTATGCATTCCAAGAGAAATTGAGATATTTTCAGCAGGACTTAAGCAGCGCAGCATGAGACTCATCGTGTAACCCTAGCTGCTTTCATTGAACGCGTTCGCTAGTGAAATTAATCTTAGCCATGGATAATATTGTGTACAAAATTTATGAGCGCAAACCCTTGTGTTGGTACTGTAGCGCCATTTAACAACAAGAACCTTTTTTACGCTTCGTCAAGTATCGTAGTGCGGGCACTTGCTTGTTATTCTAGGTATGTGTGTGTGTGTATGTGTGTGTGTGTGTGTGTGTGTGTTTATAACCTTAACACATTTTAAACGCTTATTTACTTAAGTCCAAGTGTAACGAGCCACTCTTGCATTTTATAACCCTCCCTACCTGGACAGCTGTACGCTAAGTTTACTTAGTATTCGTTAACAAAGCGCTCGGAAAAAGTGATTAATTGTTACTTGGGTGAAATTTATTGGTTTTGATCTCTTCTTTCAAGTGAACGTAAAACGTAAAGAGACTAAAACAAAAAGCCAAAAGCAAAGAAAAACGTAATAATAATAATAATAATAATAATAATAGCAAAGTGTGTAAACGTGATCCGTAGTAAAATAGAGAAAATTAATGGAAATTTTTGTGCAACCACAGCAAAAAAGAAAAAAAGTAAATAAGATTTCTCCTATAACCGATTCACCTTACAATTAAATGTTTAACCTTTGCTTTACCTTTAAACAACAAGTGAAATGGAAATGTTTGTGTATGTTTTGTTGCTTGTCTGTTAAAGTTAAAATTTTATTAAGCATTCCATGATTTAAGAGCAAACGAAACCGCCAAAGGTCACAGAGAGAAATCATGAGTTTTGAACACTGCTGCCCCCATTATCAGCACCAGCATCAACATCAACATCAACATCAACATCAGTATCAACATAATCAAAAGCAACCGCCAAACCATTTTCATCAGAACAAATATTCCGCTTCACCTTTACCCAATCTACAGAATATTTGGTGTATAATACATTTGATATTATTTTTGATAGGTAAGTAAAATATATATAATATAATTATTTTTTATTTATTGTTGTAAAAATAAATATCTTATTATCTTACTTAACATATAATACTCTTTCAAGTCTGTTCTTCTCGTCGTCTGTTGTTTCAGTTTGAAATGAGTACAAGACTTAGCTTAATTTTAACACAAGTAAAAACGCTCTAAAGGCAAACGTCCCGCCATTAAGTATCTTACCTAATTATTCACATAATGCTTTGTAAGACTTTATGAGGGAATTGCTCGAAAAGTGGTTTTTGGCCCAAAGCACGTCAGTCTATCAAATTTCATCAAAACACATCAAAAATTGCGACCTCTAGTTTAACCAAAGCAAACACGAAGGACAGACGGACAAGCAAGTTTATATTGATTTAGAAAGTGCTTCTGAATATAGGCGGGTCTATTGTACACATTGTGGTGCATCCGATACACATTTATATTCCCGGAAAATGCTTGAAGAAATAAATAGGCCGATATAAAGACAGATGTAAAAACAGAGTTCTTTTATAAATGTGATAACTGCTCGCTGTCTTCAATTTCACTCCTTATTTAGTATTTACGAAAAGAGCTGAATTTAACTAATTGCTTCTTAAGCCGATAGCCTCAGATGCTAGTGCTTTAAGGCTTCTTTCTGTCTTTGAATTTATTTCTCTGGCTAAATTAATTATAATACTAGTAATAATAAATAATAACAAATCTTTCAAAAAATATTACGGCTTTACTACAAAACTTCTATCTCTCTCTCTCGCTCTGCAGTATTTTGATAACAGATATAAAAAAATTATAAAACAAATGTCAACAGTATAGTGGATCACGGCCCATCACTATATACCCTAAACAATCCTACACTTATTCGTACATCAACTTTTCAAAAGAAAGCTTTACATGGGAAGTGGTCGAAAAAATGATTCAATCCGAACCATTTTGAGTAGCTTTCCTTAAGCCAAAAGACGCCTGCGCACCGCACCTACTTTTAAAATGTGTTACATATCACTGACTGCCCAAAAAAGCTGCTCGCACATACGGACAGACAAGCTTCAATTCATCAGTAGGTTTACCTCAAGTCTTTCTGAGTCTTGTATAGATCCGCCCAAGGGTGTAAAAAGAAAATATTTGGTCGTTGATTACACTAAACCGTTATGTTTGTATTTAGAAGCGCTCTAATGCTCTACTATATGACTGTTGCAAAGGAAGAAGTCAGTCAGTCTTCTTAACTACTTTTAAATTGCATATCATCTCTTAATTTAATTATATTCTCATAATTACCGAGAATTTATTTGTTAATGTTATGATTAATGAACTATTGAATACATTTCTTACAATTCCTTAGCGTTTCCGAGAAAACATGAGAAAAATTTGCATAAAAACAAAAAGAAAAATTTGGAAAACATCTTTTATGGCAAACATAACCATAACGCATAAAAGTATATCGAAACACTTTAAATAATAAATAAACGCATTTATAGTACCAAAGCATATACAGACAAAATGTATGCAAAACGAAAGAAAAATGTTAGATGAAAAAGAAAAGAAAAAAGCAAATATAAGCCACGCAGCTGAGCCAACGGCTGCTTGGAAACCAATTGTTCACCCATTTGTATATTGTTGTTGGATTGTAAAGCACGAACCCATGTGCAACTCAAACATATCTTGTCTTATTTATATCTTAGAACATTAAACAATATAATACAAGTCTCGTCTAAGTGGGAACGTATTTCTACAATAAAATCTCTTCGTAGAGATTAACGTAAGGAGCTGTCTTTGCCAGCGGAGATGTTAGTAAATAGAAAACTTGTGTAAATATTAAGACTTGTTATTAAAAGCATTCAACACAATCTTAAAACTAAACCGTATAATTAAATTAGTACGACCTTTAAGAGAACATACACATACTCACGCAATTAGGAAAGTTTTTAAACGAAACTTTTTTTTTTTTTTTTTTTGTGGGGCAGATTACTAACAAAAGGCAAACAAATGACAGCAAAATGACAACAACAAAAATATATATATGTTTCGCAAAAGTAAATACGCGTGACGAGCAAGTTATTCATCACATTCAAATCATGATACATTTCTGTAGAAATCTTTTCCTGGAATATGTAGAAATTTTTTAAACAAATAGACAACTGCGTCGCTGTAAGTGTTGTGAAATTTAATTAACCGACACAATTTAAATAAAGAAGTATGTGTACGAATTTCTCGAGTATTATGTAATTAAAATATTTGAACACATTTATACACACAAAATGGTGTTTGCATACATTTCCAGCTGAAAAAGGTTTACATGAAGCAAGTAAGAACATTATAGTCTGGCAAGGCCGGCCATCAAATACCCTAGAACACGATCATGTTTCTATATAAAGACATATTTTTCAAGGGAGTCTTTAAGGGGAAGCGGCCCCAAAAAGGAAACTGATATAGTGCAAGCTTAATCTTTATATAGGACAGGATCGAAAAATAGGCCGAGATTGTCCAAACTTGGTACAGTTAATTTTTTAACTCAAATTACATATGATATATTATATTATAAATATTTCATCATGAAGCATTGAATATTATACCATCTTGATGCACAAACTTCAGTTTTCATTATAGAAGTGGAAGTTCAAAAATTGCCACAGCCGGTCCAAAGTATATCGAAATAATGCTACTTAGCCACTTTTGCCGAGGAATTTTGAAAATTTCAATTTTTTTCCATATAACGACTTTTCAGAATAGGCCGTCATATGAGGAGGAGTAATCGAGAAAGTGGACCGATCCGAACAATTTTCAATAGCGTTAATGCTTGAGTCACTATATAAAATTTCATCAAAATATCTCAAGGATTGCGACCTGTAGCTTGTACACAAATTTACATACACACACATCAGACGGACAGACAGGCTTTGCTCAATTCAGATTACGATTCCGAATCGATCGGTATAATAAAAGCTGGATCTATTTTCAGCCCTTCTGCGTGTTACATACGACCGTACTAACTTAGTATACACTATACCACAACTGGTGTAGAGTATAATTATGATTAGAAAGATATTTTCTGTCGGCATTTGCTGTAATATAGCTCTCGCTTTTACTTTTTTTCACAGAAAATAAATTATGTAATGAATTGTCAGGACGTATAAGTAATTACTGTTCTGAATGCACTTAGCTAAGCTGCCATTTGAAATTTATAATTGATGTGTGAATAATTTTATATCGTTATGCATGCGTTGGTTATGCTTTCTGTTAAAATAATGAAATTCTAATGAGCGATTTATATTAGAAGGCATTAATTATTTAATAATGGCGGCATTAATGCAATCATCAATGTTGCAAAAGTTTAATTTAAGCCTTTTTTGATATTCCAATTTAATATTAATCGGCTTGAAGGGATAATAACTATGAAACTGAAGCAAGTAAGAAAATTACATTCTGCTATGATCGAATCTTGTATGCGCATCACATATATTCTCCATAAGACTGAAAGTGACGGCCGATAAGGCATAAGTATATTATATCGCTATATATATATCGCTATATATATATATATTATATGGAAACATAACAACATCAATATTACTACATAAATATGATATATCTATAATATGGGATAGGTATGATTGATTTTTGCGCCTATTTGTGAGCAAGTACGTAGAAATTTTGTAAGCGCGTCCTTTGACCGATTCGTTCCATTTTCAATGCAAAGCTGCGTGCAGAACTTTTAATGGATCTGCTTAGTATAGATGGTGGGACGGACAGACTGACATTCTTAGATCGATTCAAAATATGATGCTGATCAAGAATATATAGACGTTATGAGATCGTTATGGATTTATTGCAAACATTTTGTCGTACCTGCTCATTGGGCATTGGTAGGTATGAAACGGCCCTTATTTCAAGAGAATACATAATTATTAAATGATCTCACACTTAGAGCTCATGATACGATGATTTTTGGCGTATTGTAGCTAATTGTATGAGTATTCAACAGTGTTCGATTTAGTTTAATTGGAACAACTCACAATAGACTGTACCTCGTAGGAGACGCACACTAGTGTAGAGCACAGACTTCATGGTCGATATTATTAGTTTTCTTGTCCTGCATAATGATTTCTTAAGCTTTGGCTGTCGTAATACACCTTCTATCCATCATCTGTCATGAGGTGGTGGCACTGTCAGCAAGCAAGGTTTGCTTTTACACGATATTCGATATATTCAAACTTTCCAAAGGCCTCAGCGCGATTATCTACACTATTACGTAAAGGCCAAAAACAGTACTTTCACAAGAAAAAATTAACATTTCGGAATTGCTGAAAAAGAAAATAAAATTGCCGAGAAAGATCTTCTGTTGGGCCATTACGAGATCATATATATGTACTTATGCTCATAATGTTTTCAAGTGTTCTGTTTATTCTTGTTCTTTTGATTTGAAAGCCTCGCAAACAATTAACACCTTTCGACTCAGTTGACAACAGATGAATCGAACTCTGGCTTGATGATAGACTTTGCCACAGTGAATATGCTTCGTTTTTTGTTTTACATTCATTTCGAAACAGAGCCTTATATAAAAAAAATGTGGTAGAGTTACTACTCCTGGAATGGAACATGTTCCTCGGCATTTCATTTTCTTATTCGTTGCGAACATATAATATTATATTAATATGATTAAGTGCTTGTGTTCTTTTGTTTCTTTTTCGTCAATTGTTAGTTGGCTATGGCTTTATCTTCAATTGCTGGAATAGTACAATAATATTCCATCCCCCCGTTACATGTTAAGTTATGTATAGGTAATACAGTCTTGGAATCATTTTATGAATACGAAATGCAAAAGTTTATGATTAAAATGCTTACTTGGCGGAAAAGTATGGAAGATGAAGCATATCAATGCTTTAATAGCTAAGAATAGCTCAAACTCATAATTCTTATCAAAAGGAATGAAAAGTTTTCCTTTTATTGGTTTACTTTCCACAAAATAATCTTCTTCATGCACATGTGTTGATTGCTTAAATTGTG